GCTCCGCCGCTCGTGATTATCTTTAGGTATTTGGCTAGGTTTAGGTTTTTAAATGCTGTAATTAGGTTTAAGGATTAGATATGGATTTGGGCTTATAGGAAACTTTGCATTGGGCCCAATCAATTCGAGTCATGTTTATTAAGTTTAATATCCAATCAGAACCTTTTTTTTTTTTTGTGAACAAAAGCTGAAGTATGAGAACATTTTTATTGGATTTCAATGATTTTTTTTTTCTTTCTAAAAATGTAAATATCATTGGTGAAAATGAATAATTTAGGATTACAATTTGGTTTTTGGAACAAAATGGTAAACTTTATAAATGGTCTCGTGACAAAAATAGATAAAAAAAAGAGAGCATAATCAATCGGTATTCTATCGACACACAAAATTGTGAAGCATTCAACACTATTGAGTTTGGAAGTTTATATACGAGAATACATTTTATGGTTGCGTCTTTTAATCATAATTTTTGTTATATATCTTTCCGATTGTAATTGTTATATAGTTATTTATTTTTATCATATGTTTACATCTTTTATCATATTTTTTCCATACGTACTTTTTGTTTATAACCATTTAAGGGTTGTAATTTTATGTTTATAACCACTTATTTCATAAAAAGTTGCTATATCTTTTAAGAATTATGTATTTTTAGTTCTACATGTTTTATGAATTTATGTTATATACCTTTCCGATTATAACCGCTATATAGTTATTTAATTTTATCCTACGACTACATCTTTGATCATAATTTTTCTGTACATATCTTTTCATTTTAAAAGTTTTCGGTCAAAACTGTTTTAAGGTTGTCCATTTCCGTTTATAACTACTAATATCATTAAAAGTTGCATTTTTAACAATTTTGCATTTTCAAATCTACTATTTTTTTTTAATCACAAGAAATATTATTTCATTGATAGTGATTTCGTGATCCACTCAAAATCCTGATAACTATATTATTTTCTAAATTATTTCAAAATATACATCAATCACTGATTTCTACAATTCTTGAGTTGGATATTGAATTTTTGAATTCTTATGGAAATATTGAATTTGTAACCAATTTTCTATATAAAAACTGATAAAGTTTCAACAATATTTCTCTCAAAAGGATAATTCATATAACAAGGTTTTAGATTAAACAATTTTTTTTTTTTGTTAAAGATTAAACAAAATTCAGCTGCAACATGTATGGTTTTTATGTAGTTTTACTGATGTCATTTTCTTCATTTACATCGATTTTTCATGAGTAGAAATAAATCATATGTGCTTATTTTTAAAAAATTACCCAGGTCATCCAAAACTAGATATTTCCTTTTTCACATAAAGACTACAAATAACGTTGATATTGTTTGCGCTTAC